TATATATATATGTTCCAAGTGTGTCCTTGTATGTTGAGATGTTGTGTCACCTGTAGGAAGGGATAGCAGTAAAGTATAAATGCTACACCTAAACCACTGCATACTTCCTCTATGGGGGATCAAAACAGCACATCATAGAATGGCTTGGGTTGGAAAAGACCTTAAAGATCATCTAGTTCCAACACAGATACCTGGAGATCCTTCAGCTACAGATGTTATATTCACTACAGCTGAGTCCTAAAGAAGCAGTTCTTGCTTCAGCTAATGTATAAAACAGACATGGCACCAGAGAGGGGAACTGCCTTCCCTCAGATGGTCATGGAGAAAGCTCAGACAGACTCACTACACTATACTGTCTCCCAAGCTAGCTACTAAATCAAAATCTCTTATTACTCACAGACAAGTCTTAAAATGGGGCACATATTTATGCAGCAATGTCAATGGCCAGCATCAGACATCTGGGGACAAAGCCATGGGGTATCAAGGGTATGGTCTTAAAGACCAGGCAGGTCTCTGGTAAGTCTTACAGAACCAGGGGTAGGGATGAAGGGGGAATTCTGTCCTACTCATGTTTAGATCACCATACAGGTACAGAAGTGCCAAAGGGAGGGAAAGGAGGAGCAATTCTTTCCCCTACACTACGGAACAGCAACAGATATGAGTTGAAGTGACCCTTACTGCTGCTGAGGTCTCAGTTCACTGGCCAGTGAATCTCCTCTTTGCTCAATACAACCTTCTCCTATCTGCAGTCAGTGCTATACAAATTAACCTCTCTGTCACAGTGACTGGTGGGTGAGGGCTTATTTTCTCCAGTGACAAACAGCTGATGTTTGCCTGTTTCAGATCCCTGCATAAGCAAGTATTGTTCAAGTGCTGAATTCCTAAGCAAGCTGAAAAATGCATTATTTAAAACATGATTGCGTTCCAGCATTGCACAATATTAATATTGCTAAAGCTACTTAATGCTTACACACCTAATGCATTGATACAGTAATTTTAATGAATTTCAACTGAACTTTTTAATAACTGTTTCTAGTTATTCATGAATTATGTCATGACAAATTTGGACCAAATGTTTCATTGGTCTCTTCATGTGCACATATCATTGGCTGCACATTCAGTCTCTTCTGCATGACTCAAAATTTCCACATGCTATGAAGATCTGCTCTTCGTTTGGTCTCTCCTGTTAGACAAGGTGCACCTTAGTCAGATTTCATTTGTGTTTTCAGTTTGGCAAGACCAGTGAGGCATTCGTCTCTCCATTTTCTCCTGGCATCCAGGCCTTTTGGAACAACTGGAATTTTTTCAGACATTGCCTGGAACAGAAAATTTAAGATGATTAAATCTCACATTCTGAGTAAAGAGTTTCTCACCAGCATTGTTTTCCTGCTTTTCCTGCATCAGCCCAATCCACACAAACTACCATTTAGTCTGTCACATGCAATAGGTCACTAATTCTTTACATGAGTGACTGGAAATGAGCTAACAAGAAGAGAAGTGATCCCACTTGGAAAAGGTTGGCCTGAATGTGTCAATGAAGATGACTACAGAAACAACAAAGCATCAGCCTCTTCTCTTGTTTTGTTCCAGGCAGCCTCTGTCTGGTCTCTTTGATAATAATCTGTTATTAAGCATGAAGGAGGCAACCTGGCTATTTATGTGGCCGAAAACATGCTCTAAATCAGATTCCCATGTGTGTTTTTAAAGCTGTGGTGTCTCTTCTAGTTCCCAATAAATGTAATGAGGGATACCATGTTTATTAAAAACATTTTGTCTTAAGAGTGCCAGTTATAATAAAAATGACAGGGGAAGACACATAACAAACTCAGGGAAAAAAAAGTATTTCTGAGTGCACAAAGTTGTCTTCAAAGTGACAAAGAAAAAAAGCTGCTTTGAGAGTGTAGTTTGAGATCACAAGGTTTTCTTTGCCAAAATAGTACCTGAGGTCTTAGACTTCATAGGCAAGTGTTGAGAAACTGGGTGAAACCTGGACCTGCTACCAATGACTGGCAAGCTGTGGTCACTCCAGAAAAAAATCAGGAGGAGGGACAAAGGAGTAAGATAAGAAATGTTTAATGATTTACTGTAAGAGAGGATCATTGCAAGCCCATCTTTGGCACTGAAAATAATAAAGAGACACAGAAACAGATGTTGAAGTGGAATCCAGCTTTCTAGAAAGAAACCCAAACTGTTTCATATCAGTTAAAAGCTTCTAATTGTGAATAACTCCACAATTATTATTTATTGTTATTACAAGCAGTCTATGTTGTTTAAGCATAAAAGAATCTCTTTCCTTTTTAACATAGCTGATGTTGAAATTGCATTAACATAAATAGGAACAAAACTGCTGTCTTCCAGACAGACTGCCTCCGTATTTGGAACTAATCTCTGACAGCTGATTAGGAATCATTCAACACGTGCACGTGTTCTTTAGCGAAGTGTTAAAAAAGGCAACTATGAAAAGGCAGAGTTAGGAAATTACAATACTTCAGTTAATTCCTATGGTCATTCAAAATAGCCTCATAGTGAGTATAAGCAAATTGTTTATACTCACTCGCTTAGAAATGTTAACAGACAAACTAGATTCCAATCCAGAACAGCACTTAAACACATCTTATCTTGAAACACGCAAGCAACCTTACCAGACTGCTCACATGCTTAATTTAAATCTGTATTTCCATGCATTACAGACTGGAACTCTAGTTTGTAAAGTATATAAAACAAAAAAAAGGACACCCAGAAGGAAAAAAGGTATAAGGTTTATGCAGGAAGATGAAATAGGAGGAAGACACAGGAAGAAAACTCATGTAGGAAAGGAGGCTGTGCATATTATGGTGAGAGGACAGGGGACAGAAGTGGTAAGAAATAGCATGGAGGACTTAATGTCAATAACCCATAGTTGTTAACAGTTGACTCCTCTGTCTAGTCATAATGTTACTCAGCTGCTAGGTCACTTTCCCATATGTATGCCCAAGTGCTTTGAAAAGGGACTCCCATGCATTCTGTACTGATCTCTTTTGCTAAAAGTACACATTCACACGATAAATACAGACTACAGATACCTCTAGCGGTAAACTGAAAAGGTACAAATGTTGAAATCAAAGCAAAGATTCTTTGTTCTGAATGTCACTGCTTTTATCAACTCCATACTTACCTGATTAATTTTCTGCACAATTTCACCTGAAAATTCTGGAACAGGCCCAAAGGTGTTCAGAACAAGTCTCATTCCTTCAGAATATCTTTCACAATAATCTGAAATACCTAAAAAGAAGAGTGAAAAGTTAAACACAAAAAAGTTAAACAGAAATTCCTAGTTAAGGTCAGTAAGGCTGCCTGTGCTTAATCACCGTCTTAAATCAGAGACCCAAAAAAAGGACTGCTCTTATGATTAAGACACTTAATTGTCATCAAGGAAAAATGGATTCTATCCACCACATTTCCATTAAGGTTCATGGAAAAATAATTTAGGACACGCCTTCATTGCAAAACCAATTGATGTTACATACCAGCAGGCAATGCTATGTGAGGGGTGTAGCACACAACCACAGATATACTTGTGCTTTGTATCGTAAGACCAGAAAGCTTCCCTGTCCAGTGCCCATGAGGAGAGTGCTCTTACCTCTCCTCTCCTCCTGTTCAGTGTGCGTCACATCTGTTGAAGCATTACCATCATTATTTTTCCTTATTAACCTGAAGTATGTCAAGAACAATGTGGCTCAGGGGGAAAGGAATGGAGACTCAGGTGGCTTCCAGTGAAGGAAAAAGGCTTAAGGAGGAACAAATGGATCTTCCAGATCAATACCTTACATTGCAACTGAGGTTAGCAACAGGGATTTGGCCTTTATGACCCTCTTTGACAGCTGAACACTTCCAGAAGGAGATGGGATCCACCTTATTAACCAGGGGAAATAAGAGTGTGGTTACACAACTACAACATTGTTGGAACAACTGAGGTGGGTGGGGGATGGCTCACACAACTGGAGTGCTGCAATGGACAGATACACATTGCTGGAAAGTCAAGCAGGAGAGACAAAGAGGGAGTGTGCAGGCCCTTTAAAGGAGCAGATCAAATGTATGGAGCTATTCTTCAGGATGGGCAACTAGCCGAGTGAAAGCCTGTGGGTCAGCACCAGTGGAGAGGCCAGTAAAGAATGGCATCCTCCAAACACAAGAACAATCCATCGTGATATTCAGGAAGACAAGCAGATGTATCAAGAGATTTACTTGGATGAGTTCCAGTGCAAAAAGCTGTCATGTAGCAGGTGGAAGCAGGGACAGCCTGTAAAGAAGAAATTGAGAAACACTGCCTAGGCACATAGCGATGTTGTGGGGAAAGCCAAAGATCAGCTCCAGTTGAGACTTGCAGGGACGTTAAGGCAACAAGAAGAACTTTTACTGTTAATAACAGCCCTTGCTGTTATTTGAATGCCTTTGTGAGGTGTTTTCCATTGTATTTTAAAAATCATGCCAGTAAATGCACCAAAGTCATCATTTAAGATCTTCAGATGACTGAAGGCAAATATTGCACCCATCTTCAGAAAAGGTGAAAAGAATGATCTGGGATACTACAGGCCAATCAATCTCACTGCTGTCACTGAGAAAATATAAAAGCAATTCCACTTGAAACAAGTTCCTGGGCACAGAAATAAGAAGAAAGTAACTCTGACAGCCAGCATGTAGTCACCAATGGGTATGCCATGGTGTAAATTATGTCTGACTGACCTCATTGCCCTCTGTGATAAAATAACTGGATTTGTGGAAAATTGGAAAGTAGTGGGTATCATTTACTTCAATTTCAGAAGGGCATTTGACATGGTCTTCTATGATTCTTGTATCAAAGTTAGGACATTACGGTCTGCCTCTTTGGGCAAGTAGATGCACAAAAAAATGGGTCAGATACTCAGGCTCAGAGGTAGTGCTTAATGGGTTGTACTCTACTTGGAGGACAGTGAAAATAAATTATTGCAGGAATCTGTCCTAAGAGTTGTACTGCTTAACAGCACTTGCTCCTAACATTTGTGAATGATCAAATCAATCAAGTCGAATTGTGTGGGGGTGGGAGACTGCAGAGGGGATGGACAGGCTGATACATTGGAAGGCAAGGTTGCCCTTAGACGGATTCGAGGAATGGGCCAATATACACCTTTAAAAAAATGAACAAGGACATATGCAAGATTCTGCACCTCAGAAGAAAGAGCTCCTTGCAACAGCAGAGGATTGTGAAATTCAAGAACTCATAGTCACGGCAAGCAGCAAGCTGCATGTGAACCTACAGTGTGCCCTGGCAGCAAAGAGGGCCAACAACATCCTGGACTGTGTTAACTAATTGAAGTTAGTTAACAGTAGATTGAAAGAAGTGATTAACTTCCATGACATTCATTAGACTGCATCCAGCATACTGCATTCAGTTTGGGGCTTCCTAATACAGAAAAAAAGTTGGTAAACTGGAACAACTTCAGCAAAGGCCACAAAAATGGTGGGGGTTGGAGGACTTGTCCTGTGAGGAGAGGCTGGAGGAGCTGGGCTTGTTCAGCCTGGAGCAAAGATGGTTTTTGTGGAGAGTTTACAGGAGCAGCTCCCCAGTGCTGCAGCAGCACCTGTGGGGAGGTCAGTGAGCAGACAGAGATAGGCTCTTTACAGCTGTTGCACAGCAGAAGGACAAGAGACAACAGATGCAGTTTGAAATGAGAGGTTCAGGCTGGACACTCAAGCACTGGCCCAGGTTTTACCCACAGAGGTTGTGCAGTCTGCATCGCTGGGGTTTTTCAAGGTTGAGGCATTAGCAAGTAAGTGAAATGACAAATGCACCAAAAAGAGAAATCATTTAGCCAGACATACACATCTAGTAGGCTTTTAGTGCTATTAACTACCACATAATCAAGAAAGGGTAAGGCAGCCTTTCCCAATCAGAAAGTCATGAGCTGCACCAAAAGAGTAAGTGAGCAATGCTTGTCTGGCAGTACACAAGTCAACACTAGTAAGAACGTGATTATCCTGAACACCCTAGGTCTGAGAACTACTGCTTGTGACAATCTTTTTTTTCCTGAGAACCACAGAGACTGAAAAATTTGCATCCTCAACTCTCTTTTTATTAGCTAATTATCAAGGCAAATACAAGAAACATGCAGAAGACAAAGACAAGCAACTACAGGCAGCAGTTCTTTCATGAAGACTCAGAAGATTGTACACACTGAGAAGCATGAACAAGAACTACTCATGGTCTTATCTAACCACAAAATGCAGGTGGGCCTAACCATCACACAAAAGAATGCAACTCAGGTCAAGAGTCATTAAGTAATCTCTTTCCTAAATAGATTGTAGACAGTTCCTAGGAATGCAATACTGTGTGATATCAGTACCATAGAAGTCATGCCTGTCTAACCATAAAATGGTTGAGGTTGAAAGATGGAAGAATGAATGGAAACCTCTGACTGCTGACAATTATGTATCATAAGCTACAACAGTTACACTACTCAACACATTGAAATTGTTTAAAGTACAGGTTTTCCTAAAGACCCAAGGTCAGTATGACTATGGAGAACACTCTTGTTTCTGAACCAAAGACAGGACTTCCAAAGGACAGTCTCAAGAAAGTATTAAGTTTCCTTCAGCACTCAGATCATGATGACTGTCAGATAAACAACTGAAAGGACAGAATGGGAAAACATGTCCATTGCATAAGAGTAACATGGGGAGATTTGAGAGTATTCAACTCTCTTAAAAATAGGCTAGAAACATTCTCCAGTATCAGAAGAAAGGAGGCTCTAAGAAAAACAGCAGTCTTGTTAAGTAGCTCGAACCTATATGTGGTGCTAAGAGTGTGAGAATCAGCATTCTGTCAGCTTGTTTCCTTTTGTTATCTACGCATGGGAGCATATGTGTTCCTAGAATACAATCTAGTGTATTCTGGCTTCCCCAATACAAGAAGGGAGATCAGCCAGTCATACGGGTATATTGGTACTCTCATTATATGGAAAATCAGTATTTTGCACAAGTTTCTTGATTGACACACAGCCAGAAACCTTCAGATTGCCTAGTGGGCTGCAAAACATCACTGGCAGGAAGTGAGATTCAGGAAGAGAAGCATTACTGTGGGATGTGGACCAGGCTGTGATACAGTCTTAGCTCTTCACTGAGGGAATAAGCAGAAACCATCTGCTTCCATAAACATTCTGGAAAGGACCACTGGTTATCAGGGTTTACTGATCATACTCTGTCATTAGTGTGTTTGCCTGTTACATCATAACTAACAGCTGGGCTCACAGACTTTGGAACCTGAAGCCAATCCAGACTGACCTACAGGAGATAGCTATCCACATAAGCAATCTTGGGAACCCAAGACAATTCTGGATGAGACTCATGCACCAACCACAAGACAAAGATATTTACATTTCAACCTGCTCATGTGAACTTTTTCTTTTAACATTGAGGAGTCTGAGCAAAAATGTCCGCACATCATGCAACATCACAGAACGTTCCCAGATGTAGAAGCAGAAATGACAGAGATTGAAGAGTGCAGAACTATGTTGGGTACACCTTGCTAATTCACAGCTCCTAGCAACAGGTGTTGCCAGCTGGACGATGACAAAATAAAAAATGGCAAATCAGTACAACAGGTGTTGCCAGCTGGACAATGACAAAATAAAAAATGGCAAATCAGTTGAATATGGCAAGTCAAGAAAATTCCCATTAGCAATTGGCAAGAAAAGGCATGGTAAACAGAGCAGTGTCAGTAACCAGTTATTCTGGTGCTCGTCCAGCTGACACTTAGACCAGTGCAGAATGGCGTGGGTTTGGTACTTTTCCAAAAGTCAAGGGGAGCCTTACAAACATCAAGTAAGCTTGTGCAATGCTACCATAGATCTGAATAGTTTTGATTCTGGTACAGTCAGGAGAAGGTAGAAGAAAAGACTGCATGTCAGGAATCTTTTTCACAGGCCTCAAGTTAAAGAGATAAATAACATTCATCTTGGGAAAGATGAATGCTTGGATATAGCTGATTCATTTACCTGGTGAATGTGAACTCCTGAGCTGGACATGCACTTCAAAGCTCACTCAGCCAGCTAGACCTGGAATTCGAGCTTCTACTGTCAGTTCACCTACTGCTGGAATGAATCAGAACAATTTCTAGGTGGGTGTAAGCTCATCAATGCAACAGAGACATGCCAAATGCAGGCTAGGTAATACAATTCCCTCGCTGCTTATAACGTATGAATTAAAAGAAGCCTTATGCAAAGTCAGCAAAATAGGAAAAAGTGACA